AGGAAAATATGTTTTTCTCTAACAGGTGATAAGGGAAAAAAAAATATTATATCAATTGTTCACCTAAAATAAACTATTAATTAAATAAGATGGAACAGTAAGCATTATAAAGCTGAAGGTATATTAATCTAATTTCTTTCCAAGCTCTGAAAATTCTCAAAGCCAAATTGCATCACCAAAATAACTGACAGGTTATCAGAAATAGTGAAGATTCCAGGAGCATTTTAAACTGAAAGCATATAAGCAAGAACCATATCTTGTAAAATCTCATGTTTTGTATAAGTCCAGTTATTGAAAGCATTACTTGATGATTCTCTTTATGATTTTTCGTTTAGATCCTACCCAAAATTTTTAATTAGTTGATTGTCTCGGGGAAATAACTTTTATGGATAAATGGCTATTTTTATCAGGCAGTAGTACTGAAGCATCAACAACCTTCTTTTCAATTGCCTATTGATCATGGAGCATTTTCTTTATTTTTCCTGCCTGGCAGGTTTCTGATACTTTTCTTCCTGCATCATACTGTCCTGACTGCTTTTTTTTCCTTTCCATCTTGTAATTCCTAAAACAAAAAAATATATTTTTGTTCCTACATGGGGGAAGCATAATAAGGAAAGTACCTGCAAGAATTATTCTACTAAATGTCTTTCCCTGGAGATCTCATAGTACTCATCGTTTAAAGCAGGTTCTCTGACACCTGTAATTCAGAAGTGATAAGATACGTTTCCATAAAATCAATTAGATTTGTGACTTTCTTAGCAGGCAGGTTTCTTAACATTTCATTGTATTCAATAACAACATAATAGCACTTAAAGTAGTGTTTTTATCTTCAAAACACTGTAGAAACATTCATCATGTAATTGTTTTCCTAAAAATTGTAGCATTCTTTGAGGGGGGAGGGGGGTTATTCCTGATACTTGTGTGGATATAAGCTCTGGGTATAAAATCAGATCTTCATGGTACAAGAATCTTGTACAGTTTTAACTTCTGACAAAGTAGGCTGTTGCTTATGAAAGTTTACATGTGCTTGACACTTAGTCTCTAAGGTGCCACTCTGCCCTATCTTCTGCCTGGTAGATGGCAGGGGTGCTCACCTGCCAGCCTGTGGGCCAAATGCTGTCTGTGGAGCCTTGGAATCTGGCCTGTGGGGCTTCCCACAGCTTGGGAAATTTGGTGGCGGGAAGCAGTGGTGGTGAATATTGCCACCCCTCACTGCTGCTAAAATCCCAAGCTATGGGTTGGGGTGAGCCATGCCCCCTTATCCCCCTTTCCTGTATGTGGTCAGATTACGGCTGGAAAGCATCCTTGTCTCCCCACATGGCTGGACCACTCCCCCTGTGCAGCTGATTAGGGGCTAGTCTATGCCCCCTTCTCTTCCCCACCGCAGGGCTCTGGACCATGTTCCCTTACCTCTGCCCAGCCAGGTTAGAGCTGTAGGGTTGGGGTCTAGATTTGTGTAAACACAACTTATTCAGTTCACGTGTTTTATCTAATGTACATTCCTTATTAATTTGGTAAGTAGAGTTCAACATTTGTCCTTGGTTTAAAAGCAGTTAAATTCTTTAAAAAATCTTTTATTCAATTTAGTACCATGACATTGCATGACTTATAATTTTAAAGTTATAGTTATGATCTCCTTACATGATTGTTTTTCTGTCACAATTCCATATAGCTAGTTTTTAAGGATTTCATGTCTTTAACAAATTGAAAACGATATTCCTTTATTAAAACACTGGAAATCAAAAGCTAGGACTGTATTTTAGAATAATTTTAGAATAGTTGAAATCCTGTTTTCGTGACTACAATTTGACAGAAGGCTTGTAATTAAATTGATTTATTCCAAACCTGAAAATATGCACAAGTTGAGTGGCAAATGGTATCCTAATTCCTAAATACTTTATTTAATCTATTTCTTGCAATGGAATAGACATTATAAATGAATAAACACAAAGGATCTTTAAAAAATCTTGTAAAGAGATAGTAACATCTAAAAATATTGGCCAAGTATAACATGTAAGCTAAAGTATGCAAAAGGGTTTTTTTTTGTTTAGTACACACATACCATTTTAGGCATACATTGTTGTTTATTTTATTAGGATAAAATGATTAAAAAGAAATGAATGACGCTGTCATGGCTAGTACCTACAGGGAGGTCCACTGAAATTCATCTGCCTAATCCCTTTATCAGTGTTAGGACAAATTACTAAAATATCTAGTCTTGTGAAGGCTTTAACCTACTGATGGTTTGTTTTTTATTGGCTAGCACCCAGATTCAGATGTCAAAGATTAGCCTAAAAACTGGCTTCTAATTGAAGCGGATAAACTAACAACAGTAAAGCTTTTACAATTCACAATGCTGTAATCTATTAGGTAGGATTGAATGAGACACATCAGAATACTACAATAAAACCTTTGATAAAGTATCCCAAGAGCTAAGGTATATGGGCAGGGCATTAGGTTTCATGTCTTGGGAACACCTTATACAACTTTAGAAGATGCATGCCAATCTTTTGTCTTGTTTAGAAGAGGTATTCATGGGGTGGGTATCCCATCAGGAAACTGAGTGGGCCACAGGCAGAGAGAGATTGTTTTTCATGGAAGTCCATTGTGCTCATGAAAGGCCCTTTGATACTGAAGAGATATTTGTTTCAGCGCACTTCATTTTGAATTCACTCATGCTCAATTTTCATGAAAAGACCTTTACTTCACCTTTTATATAAACTGTTTTATAGGCCACCCGCAGATGGTTAATTTTAAAGAGACTTTTAATTTTGAACTGGTTTTAGTCAGTTTTGTTTTTGAGTATGATACAGCTGTAAAACTTGGCATCTTCATTTAATAGACTATGTGCATTCTGAGCTGATCTCGTTCCTTCAGTGTGTAACATATATTCTTGCAGTCCTTAATACAAAGTTGCTGACAATTAGTTACGGAAAAGTGAACTGTTGTAGAAGAACAGAGTTGAAAATTTTGATTTTTCTAAAGTGACATGATGAGAGGTATTCAGAGAGATATTTTGTCTAATATGTCTTTATTTTTGTTTTTACCTCCAAGATCTGACTGTAGTTCAGAAATTAATGTAGTCACAATTGTCTTTTGCATTTCATGTTTATTCAACCAGACGCTTTTACTTATTACAAGTCTTTTGAGGGAAAAGTAGAATAAGCCTGAAGTGTTAAGCTTTGGGAGCATATATCGTCTGGTGTTACAAATCTTTTTGAGCAAAGACATTGCTAACCTTTCCCTTCCCACCCATTCTATTTTTTTAAGGAAACAAGCAACAGCAAAGCATTTGTTACTGTTTATCTGTCAACTTGTTCTAATTATGCCTATTAATTTAGCTATAGCTAGTTCCAGTGCTAAACAAATGATATAACTGCTGTTGATCAGAATAGAGAAATAAATAATAAAGCCTTTTCATGTTTACCATGTAAGAAATGAAAAGGAGAAAAACAAGCAGTACTTCTTATAAGAAATCCAATAGAAAGGAAAATACATATTTCTTCTAGGTTCTAAAAGCCTAAATTTTAATTTGCTCTCAATATAATATTCTTTAACTGCAGTTGCTGGACTTTTACATAAAACAATAAATAAATGCAGTTAAAGATATTCCAAACTGACATCTTCTGTACAGTATTAATCACTTCTGTTTTTGATAAAACTAGATTCTACTTAATTGCTTTAAATAGTTAAACTAATGTTATCATCTTTAACTGAAACTATATTAAATATTGTCTTTAGAGACAAAGAAAATCCTTTGCACAAGGATATGTAATGTAAGGTAAAAGTATTTGCAATATAAAGATGGGTTTATTTCTAGGAAATTTCCCTTCCTATATCTAGAGACATTTATAGGAAATTTTATAGGAGAACAGCATCTTTGTTATCTTAAGAGTTCAACTATTTCTGCTGCTTTCTCTCAGCCCGATGTCACTTCTACAGCAAGCATGTGTGATGTCACAAACGGGATTGTTATTTTAAATGAAGAATAAGGAGCAGGAGCAGGAGCAGATCAGCTCCTAAGGAACAAAGATTTTGTTTTCATTCAAATGTTCTAGTGATAAAAAAGAAAAGATTTGCTGTTTCAGCACAACTGGCTCTAAACATTCTTTTCAACGTTTTCTGTAGGGTGTTAGTGGGTCTGTAAGAAGCTGTTAGTATATGTGATATGTTATAAAACAATTGCTGATTGCTGCAGAAGCAGAATGTCACATTCATCTTCAAATGCTTATGTTCAGTGATGCCTTCCTGTTTAAGAACTCTCATTGGATAATATAGGTTTATTTGAGGAGCCAAGATAAGGATTGCTCTGAGCATGGCTAGTAGATGTTAGCCATAAGAAAATTTACTGCGGATGTTGTCCCACTACATTTGAACATTTAGTCCTGTAGGTTCAGCTCTCATACCAAGTGAACTTTAAGTTTCTGTCAGACACAAGCTAACATACAGTGTTAAATAAATATAATGTAAAAAAGATGTAATGGCCATGTTCAGATGTGCATTACTCTCAAATTTGTGTCGCTACTTTGTGTCGCAGCACACACCCCTGCACGTGAACTTTGTGGGACACTGTGTCCCACTTTGGGCAAACTGCCATTGCACATCTCCTCTTGGCTTCTGGTGTGCTACAGCAGTTGGGGCACAAATGCAGTGGAGATACTCTGGCCAGCAGCCAGAGTATCTCCCTGGAGGACCAAGCCTCTATGTGTTCCAGTGCGCGCTACTGTAGTGTGTGCCATGCCACTGCTTTTTCTGGGGGGTGTTTTAGCTGTCGGGAAATCCTGATAGCAAATTTTGCCCCTGCGCTGCAAACTTGCAGTACAGGGCATGCTTTAACATTCCATGCATGCAGTTTGTGGCACCACAAAGAGGTTTGTGGCACCACAAAACATATATACCTACATGTGGGGATGCAGTCAATATATATACAAATACTATAATCTTTAAGAAGTGAAAAAATATTTGATTATTTATACCTTTTTTTTTTTTTCTTTTTTTAGCATGGATCAGTGTCTTAAAGATCTCCAGTCAGAAGTAAATGAAATGTGTACTGATGAGCTATTGCAAAATACAACTGGCTGCCTTCAGTGGCTAAATAATGTCAGTTCTCTCAAACCTTCTTCTACACCTAATGGAGAGTTGATTGAGTTCCTTAAGACCCTGGTAAAAAAAAAAACACAACTGAAGTTTTGATATGCTTGTTAAAAATTGTTCTTTTTCTAAAAAAATCTCTTTTCTCTGCTATTAGTTATTAGTTATTTCATTAAGGTTTCACCAGAGTCCTTTCCTTTTTCATGTCCATGTGACCAGATATTTAGTAGAATTCAAAGATTCATGAAATCTGGCAGGACTGTGCCACGAGCACTTTTGCTATTTATCGCCTTGAAGCTGCAACCTCTGGGTAGTCAACTGTGTACCTAAGTGTCTATGCCACCCCAGTTCCTATTCACCAGACTATATTTTCTGGAATTCTTAAGAAATTCAAAGTTTAATACTCTTTCATTTCATCTGTTATAGATGGTGGTGGTCTTTTGGCAACACATTGATTGAGTCTGGACTGGGCAAATTTGTGGCAGTGGAGGGAGGATATCACACTTGTGCCACCTCAAATTGAACATCACTGATAGACCTGCTTGTGACAAGTTATAGAACATCTCAGATGAATGATTAGTGGAGGTTTAAGTGAACATTAGACAATGACAGACTTTCCAAAATCTGTTTAAATAAACATAAACAGTAATTAAACCACCAGTTCCAGTAATTAAACCACCCTCAAAAAATTCTTAAAATGTAATTTAAATCTCCTTTGTTTCAGTTAAACCACTGTTTGCTCTGTCTCCTGGGGAAAAAAAATTGCCATCCTAGTTATGAGAGGCAAGGTTTTTAATATCTTTTACTGGACCACCATATAGTTGGAAGATAAGTTTGACAAACTTTTAGGCACAAAGCACCTTTCTTACAGACCTGCAGCTTTCCCTCTAGTAAAAATGGCAACTATGGCTGGTCAGGAAACCAAATTTCACATCCATGCAAAATGTGAGAGTTTGGAGAAAAAAATGTGTAGAACTGAGCTGAATAGCCAAACTTCAAGAACTTCATGGAAATGGAATTCTAGATCTTTTAGGAAATACTCGTAATGTTTTGGTATTTCTGAAACAAAATATACTTCCTAGGCTCCTTCATTTCCAAGTAGCCTTAAAATACGTCACCCAACATAATACCGAAAGAACAACTGTGAGCACACTTGCATATCACAATCTACAGCATTGTGTCATAAAAGCCCTCAGAATCCTGCCAGCCCCAGCCAGGTGAGCTTCTGGAGAGCTGTCCCAGCTCCTCAACAAACAATCCACCACATTAACTGTACAGGTAGGACTAGAAGTAGAGTTAGGATTATATGTATTTTGTTACTGATTATGTTTCTTTTGCCTACAGTGGCTAATAATTTACTCCACAGATAGTTTAATTGTCTTAAATGGGAACCATATTTGATGTAGATATTAGTCAATCTGAGTGAAATTATTAGTCTGACCTTTAGTGTCCATAGCTAATACTTTCATACATTTACTGTTATTACTCAGTTGATTTAATCATGATCTTTTATTTAAAATCGTTTCAATAATGAGCTTTGTTCATTATTTTACCCATTGTTTATATATGTTGTTTTGTAAAGTTATCTTTTAAAATACCAGAACTTTACATTTATTTCCAGAGTAATGCAAAGTGTCAGTATACTGTTGACATAGGCATAGGTGACATGTGCCTTCTGAGGCTGGGCGGGCATGGGGACCATCCACAAGGTGGCTACGTGGGTGTTGGCAGCGAGAGCGGGCTGAGTGGGGACCATCTGCAGGTGCAGGGGAGTCTCCCGTGCCCAGACGCCGAGCCCAGAAGTGCCAGCTGCACTTCTCCGGGGGGGAAGGGGGGCACCAGCACTCTGCCTGCCCCCTGCCCATTGCCTAAGCTGCAAGCAACCCCATGCATCCACTACACATCACCTATGGATATAGGCATGTCACTATCCACTGGCCTTAATACTTTCCTTCAAGTTATCCCTCAGGGAAATATTAAAAGATTCCTCATTAAGCCTGGTCACCTTCTTTGATGTGGCATATCAGTCATTCTACAAAAATCATGCCAATTGAATTGTTTTGTTTTCATTTTGATGTGTATTATTTTAAGTTTTGACTATAAATTAAATTTTAAATAAAGTTCTTTCAACCAGAAAACTGAATATTTTCCATGTAGATAATGTCAAAAAGGAATATTTCAATTTTGAAACTTTTCATTTTTTAAAATGAGAAATTAGTCAAAACCAGTGACCCAGTCCACCAAAGAGTTTTGACACATCAGATTTATGATGGGGAAGAAAAACATGTTGAATAATTTTCAACTTACACTATTCTCGTGGCAGTTGGACAGACCATACCTAAGGTTTAGCTCCAACTGGTTGTTGTGCAGTGATGAAGTAACACTTCAATTTCAATTCTATTCTATCCAGGAGACCACACACAACAACACCAGACTATGCTTGAAGAAGTGTTTGTGCCCAAAAGCTTGCAAAGATCAATATTTCCAACTATTTAGTTGGTCTAATAAAAGCTAGCACATCTACCCAAAGAACCTTGTTTTCCTATGTCCTTAGACCAAACCTGCTACAACCAACAACCCTTATATGTCCTTTAGTATCTTAAACAGGCATTGACTAGAGTTGGCATTGGAGAATAGTGCCATGGTCTGTCTTCTATGCTGTGCAAAGCTCCAGGGTTGCTGTTTTTCTGAAGGCATTCCCCCTCAGCTGGAACTGACCCTCCAGCTGGAATCATCCCATCCTCAGGCATTTGTCTGAAAACTTGTCTAAGATCTCTCCCTACTATACAGTTGTTCCAGTAAAAGATATCATGAAGGTGTCCTTGCCCCGTTTAACTTTCCCATTTTTTATTACTTTAACCAAAAAACCCCAAATAATGTAATTTTAATGAATTAATTACACATTTAATCAATTTATTTAAAATTTCTAAAAATATTTAATTAGAAAACATTTGACCAAATGTCAGTTTTTATCCATTTTTCTTTTCTTTGAAATTTCAATCAATTTAATTTTATTCTGTTGAAATTTTTTGTTTGGTTGAAAAAGTACTTTTCATGAATCAAATAGTTCACAGTCACAATCATATGAATATTCTTATGTACTTTCAGATTTGATTGTTGCAGATTTGATTATGTACATTGTTGTTGCAATCTCTTATGTATTGTCTGGTGTGTAGTTTCTGCATACATATTATATCATCAGTTGTTGTATTTCTTTGTGCTATTCTATGTCCTTACAATGTGTACAATCTGAAAAAGCATAGAAGGAAAGCTATAGAATATTCTTCATTTTTAATTTGGTTATTGCAAGCCCTTGTATGCCAGTGCAGGTAATACACTGTTACATAGTTTGCCATGATGATTAAACTGTGTTCAGTTTCTGAAAATTTCCTTGTGTATTTTTAGAGATATTTATGTTTGTTACTGTGCAGGGAATCTTCAAGTAAGCAAAGTCATCTAGAGTTTGATATCAGAAAAATAGTATTTTCCTGTCTCTGTTCACTGGTAGGTTCATGTATACTCAATATGTGCACTGGCATTCAGGAACTTAAGAGAATTAAAGGAGGACATAAATAATCACTTTGTATTTAGCAATTAATATTTTTTATCTTGTTAAAAAAAATTAATTTTATCAAGTTGGGTTGCATATAACGTTTCTAAAATTGCATCTTATTTTTATTAGCAAAGTTTGCTGAAGAATGAACAAAATCAAGAAGAAATGGTAGTTCACTTTCTTCTAGATCTCTCCAGTCAGTGTGGTGTATCATTTCCATGTACTCCAAGCGGGACATCTTTTGATTTTACACCCAGAGCTTCCCTTCATGCCATTGAGGATGATTCATCTATGGATGTTCAGTCTCTTTGGGATGATGTTAGACTACACCTTCGACGTTTCTTGGTGAGCAGACTGCAGAGTCATTATGAAACAAACACTAGTACTTCACAACAGCAAATCCAGTTTAAAACTCAATGCGTACAACAACTTTTGTTTTTTTATCCTGAAACAGAAGTTTTAAGCAAATACCAAAAGATGCAGAATAAACTTGTTAATGAACTTCTACAGAATAGTGTTCTAGCTAGGTGTGATGAAACCGATCTTGATAAGGTGGCTTGTGGTTACCAAAGTTCAATACCTATACTGTTCACAATGGTAAAGGAAGATTTGTGTATGCTAAGTGGAATGATGGATCCATCCTCAACATTGAAGTTTATTAATGAAACTTATTTGGATACCATCACAGAAGAAATTAAAATTCTTCTTGACAGACTTTATGAACTGCAGTTCAAAGCAGACACTCTACATGTAGTTAATACCGGCAAGAGCTCAAAGAAACATAGAGGAGCAGTCCATGCTTTGGGTTAGTAGCATTTTTTTATGTTCTTTTTAGTTATTTTTGTTTAATATCTTAATTATGCTTCCTTGCTTTTTCTTTTAACTGATTTGTTTCACATTAAGACTGAGAAGCATGAAATGTTAAATTTATAGTTTGATGTTTTAATAATATTCATGTAATGAATTACTGAAGATAGCAGAATTGTGACCCTTACATATATCAGTTAGGACAAGTTATGTTACAGCTGCAGTATATGACACAAAAACTGAGGTACATTTCCATGGAATAATATTTTCCTATTAGAATATTAAAAAATAACTATAACTTTAGGTTTGGGGCTACAAACTATTGCATCTGGATAGGAAAAAACTTCTAGGCTGTTCCCCAGAGTTACTTGGTAAACTTATTTTGGGAAGTTACTTGCTATACATCTGGCTTATTTAATTATAAAATAGATGACACTAAATCAGAGCAAAATTGGTCAAAAGGATTTGTTGTGCAGACTGATCTTTTTTCTACAAATTTTTTTAGTCTTTTCCAATAAAATTCCAACACATATAAAAATGGCCTAAGTTCAAGGTACTCTTAATTGGTCATTTCATATAGTTCAAAATTATTTGTGACACTAAAGAGGATGCTGTTGTTGGCATTTTATACGGTCTGTACTTCTGATAAATTTGACAACGTAATCCAAGTCTAACAGTTCATCAGGCTAGTGTGGTTAAGGTACACCAGTTTCTATACTCAACTGGCATGCAAAGAAGTGATGTGACTAGTATTTTATATCTGGCCAGCTTATACATCTGAATGATGTTGTATCCATTTATAGCTGGGCCAGGTGTGGGCAGCCTTTGGCAGGAATACAAACCAGGGCTTGAACTCACTCTTTTGAAATGCTATACAGGCAGTCCTTGACTTAGGGCTAATCAACTTGCGGTGCTCCGCATTTACATCGCTGTTATTACTTACGGCACTGATCCTTGCCCTTACAGCAGGCAACGGCGCAGGCACCGTGGCTGGCATTGGACACTTACCAAAGGTATGCTCAGGCAGCGGTTCCTCCTGAGGCCATGTGCTTCCAGAGGCGAGATGGAGACAGGGGCTGGTGCCGGGGAACTGCTCCGCTTCCTAGCCCCAGTGCCATGTGCCTTCTAACTCCCAGAGGCATGGTGAGGCAGAGAGGGGGGCTGGCGGCTGGCGCAGGCTCCGCTGGCTCCAGGAAACTGCTCCACACCCCCCACATCATCTTGGGGAGCAAGGAGGCACATGGAGCCAGCAGAGCAGTTCCCAGCCCCCATCCCTGCCTTGTCATGCCTCTGGGAGCAAGGAGGCACATGGCATCGGGGCTGGGAAGTGGAGCAGTTCCCTGGAGTTGGTGGCACCTGTGCCAGCTCCTGTCCCTGTCCCTGTCCTTGCCTTGCCTCAAGGAGGAGCCGCTTCCCGCCCCACATGAGAACTGAGGAGCTTACCTTCAGTAAGTGTCCCATGCCATCCCCAATGCCTCTCTTAGTTACTGCTTTGCACTTTAGAAAGCTTTCTACAGTGTATATCATCTATCAGTGTATATTATTTATAGTTAATTAAATAATTGATTTAAATACCTATAAAAAGTTGGGTTATGCTCCTGATCAAAGGTCCTTGGTCAGGAATGTCGCCCCCTATTATAACATTGTTTCTGTGGGAAAATCAGATTCGACTTGCATTGTTTCGACTTACAGCGCCTTTTCCAGGAACGTAAACTGCTGTAAGTGCGAGGACTGCCTGTAGTCAGATACCTGAACCACTCTGTCGTTATAGTCCTCCCCAGATGGCAGAGTAGAGGAATCTATATGGCCTGGAAGGCTGTAAATAGGTATCACAATCATCCTGGGAGAAAGCATTTGTCCCAAGACCCTACAATTTCACTGTCCTGTTTCAAGCCCTTCCAAAGTATGTGGGATAAAATATATTAACACCTTTTTTTTTCCCAGGACATGGCTGTATGTGTTTGCTGGATACCTAATGGTGGAGGAGCGATGTGGCTTGGAAAGATGCTCTGTGTAAATGACAGTGCTGTGCCTGTTTTGATCCAAATTAAACCAGATCCATCAGGCTTGTATCCTGTGACGCTCAGAATATGGACAAATATCCATTTGGAGCCATTTCAAAAGTGGAAGGAATGGAGGAGATTCTTGCTCCAAAACACACAGCAGCTATTATGTTCCTGCATCAGCCAGGAATGATAAAAATATAGCAAAAACAACTCCAACTTTAACACTTCTTCATGTTTCCCTTTTGAGATGATTCCCTTTTGAAACTGCTTCAAATAGATATTTGTCCATACCTTGAGTAGATTCATTTAGGATTAGCTCTTTGTGATTTGGCTGAGTCATGTTGGATGCCTCAGAGGTTAATTGGGGTCTGGCTTATGGTCTTAGGATAGAAATATTTTCAACTTTGAGAAGAATAATACATACGTAGAATGGTCAGGTGGTGGTTGCCAGGTCTCAACAAAATAAGTTTTATAATTGTGTAGCCTTATAAAACAATTTATGTAACAGCATGTCAACTAGAATTCCACAGGCAGAGAGACAGAAGTTCCTCTTCAGGAAGAACTGAAATACAGAGAGGCCTTGTGGTTGAGCTCTGGAAGAGTGGATAATGCATAGGAAGTGGTAGCGAAGAAGCGCACACGCAGTCATGTAATAGAAATAGATAAACGTAAGGACAAGGTTGATTATCATTACTGGAACAAAAGTTGTAAAGGGGAAACAAGAAAAGAACTGATAAGTAGTTACTGGTGGAGCATTGCTGAGTTGTTAAAAGATGTGATAAGAGGCATGACTTTGAGACACCTGGCAATGAAAGGATGAGCTTTTAAAGAGAGTAAGGAGAGTTTTTAATCCATGGCTCTTAAAATATATCATAAAGGCAGGCAGGTTTGTCTACATCTGTTTCAAAGATGGGAAACTGAGGCACTGAGATTAAAATATGTTAAATCAGGGGTGCTCAACCCTGAGCTCAAGGGCTGATCTGGTCCACAGAGCCATGTAATCTGGATTGTGTGTCTTCCCGTAGGTCCAGAAATTTGACACTGGGGGAATGGAGACCATTAACACTGCCACTGCTTCCCCACTGCCAAATTTCTAAGCTCCATGTGGCTAGATCAGCCCCAGCTGGGTCTGTTCCCATGCAGTGGCATCAGGGCTCAGCTGGACCATTCCAACAGAGCTGCATTAGGCCCTGGTCCTGTGCAGCTGGATCAGCTCCATCTGAGCTATTTCTGCACAACTACATTAGGCCCTGGCTGGGCCAGCACCGCGTGCCATATCAGGCCCGTGGACTGACCCGGCACTGCTCATCCAGTTTGCAGGCTGTAAAGGTTAGGCACCACTGTATTAAATCATACCTATCTCTAAAACAGCGATTTGCAACCAGGGTGCCACAAAATCCCTTTACGGGCATTATGGGGTGCTGTGCAATATAACACTGTTAAATATGCAAACACCTGCACAATTCACAAAGAAATCCCAGAAATTTCAAATAAAAATCCATAGTGTCAAAGACCTTCTTCCCTGCTGTGCCCTTTCTGAATTATTTTGAAACAGAAAAATTGCTCTATTATTTTTCCATAGTCCAGAAACAAGGCAAAGCCAAGAACTGACATTTTCTGTGAGGTGATCTGAGTATAACAAGGGGTGCCACAAACCTAAAAAGGTTGAGAACCACTGCTCTAAAATGCATATTCTATTTTTATATGATATGACGAGAGAAATATCCCTTCAGTTCCACTTTGGTTTTCTGTTTGCTATACTAATTTTTTTTTGTATCATGCCAGTATATTAGCCAGAATCAATTTCGGTAACAGTAGTCTATTGTGAATTCAAAAGAATGCAGGTTGATAACCATATACATGCAGAAAATCTTGAGATTTGGTCTTGTAGCTGTTAGAACATTAACTTTTTTAGCAGGGTCAATTGCTTTTAAAATCTCTATATTTCATAAAATCCCAGAGCAGTTTTATTTTGGAAAAGATGATAAAGGTCATATTTTCAGCTGCAGCATTTAATTTTTGCACCTGCAAAATGTATGTGGAAGTATTTGTGCCCACAGAAACGTATACACAGCTGCTTGTTTATATATACTAAAGTTTTATTTAAGCTTTCTTGTAGCTGTAACATTAGACTGTGTAGTTAAGGGTGACTTTAGTTAGTAGTTTCTAGCATTTTTGAATGGTTATATGGGGAATTTTGTATATGTAAGTTATCCAGTGGATAGTTATCCATAGGAACTGAGGGTGGAGCTGATCTATTACCAAGGGATAGAAACTTTTATGAATAAGTAATATTAAGATGTGTTTAACCTTATTCCTGTATTTGTATGAAATACAATTTTTAAAAAAAATGTATTTGAACATTTTGGCCATAATTTGGGTAATAGATCAATGAGTAACTTAAGTGTTCCTCTCCCTTTTTAAATATCTGAGGAGTAATCACTGATAATTTGCATCTAAAATGACTTTCCAAGGGGACTAGTCACAAGGGTGTGTAGTGAGCCCGCAGGACTATCAACAAAGAGACAGTTACGGTCGGTGCATCACAGGAGGGAGGCCTGATGTCCAGAGTAGTAAGGCTGATGCCTGCAAACGAACTATTCAAAAAATGATATATCTCACATTTGAGATGAAATAAGTGAGAGACCAAAACTCTTTTTCTGACAGGATTAATAATCTTTGTTTGAAAAGCTGTGAACATCCTTGGATCAAGATGGATTCCAGTTTTAATAAATAGATATACATATGGGGTATAGTCACATGCATGGTATATGCTTCCAAAAATCCAGTAGGGAAATGGAAATGACCAGATAAGGACAGGTATTTAAGAGTTGCCATGGCAGTAGGCCTTCATCTAAAGATTCCTAGGCTTTGGGGACTTTAGTTCCCCAATGGTAAGAGTGACAGTCTCGCAGAGACTTTGGCTTTGGTCAGAAATGGAAGATGAATTTTAAGAGGAAAGATCAAATCACAGTTCTCATAGTTTTTTCCC